TCTAAATCAGCCCTCAACATCGGGAATGGGCCTACAAACACGTCAGGTCATGGCGCACGGCCTCGATTCCAGGCCAACTGTTGAGGATTTCCGTGAGGATAGCTCATGGGTCCAGCTGGCCAAAACCCACTGGCTCGGGACCTCTAAGGTCCGCAAAGCCAAGCAGGATGTTATTAAGAAGGATTTATGGGAACCCTTAGAAGCTGAAAACTTCAGTCTTCGTTCGCTTTTGACGCTGGAGAATTTGAATGTCCTGGAGAAGTGCGCACCGCGACTGTGATTGACGCTCTTTAGTCCCATGAAGCTAATTGCCTATAGATATCTTTGGCCGACATATTCGGAAGATGCGTCCAATCACCATGTGCTACTAATTGCGCTGATTGTTAGCATTAAGCAGCGAGATCATTTACCAATATGGGGTGCGTTCCCGTACTTTCAGGCCGGTAATACCTGTTGAAAAGCTAATGGACCTTAGAAACTTTTTCTGACCGACCCGACGACTTCTCCAACCTTTTCCATCGGATCCTCTCTATGAGCGTCGACAATTCTCTGCCTACCTTCTCCCGCCAATCCATATTGTCTTTCATCATCAGTGCTTTTCAATCTCTGGAGAACGTACTCATCCGAAAGGAGTGCGCCCCTCTCGTCTCGATTTCCATCTGGCACAATCTCTCGAGCGAAGAAGCTAGGGATCGGATTCTTGCTAAGGCACCATCCTTAAAGAAAGCCTGGAGAGCAGCTGGGAAGCGGTATGAAGCTGGAGATGAGGCGGCAAAAGCCAAGATGCGATTCGAGCGATCGTGGCTCTACACTATGCTTCTGGACTTTTTGCGGCGATTGAATGGGCCCGAGCAAGAATTGTCCGATAATCTACGCTATTGTGAGAGATTTTTGGAATTCCTGGTGGACTTGGAGAGTCAGCTTCCCACAAGGCGCTACGTCAATTCCTTGTTGAAGGATCTCAACTTACTCCCAGTTATACGGCTTTCGCGAATGTACCGTTCGCCTGAAAATGCTCTCTTCCGCGACTTTTTTGAGCTTCTGAAACATTTTTCTGGATTTGCAATCGATGACTATACCGGCGAACCTCTTGACCCCCAGGCAGTCTATGAGAGCCATTCCCGAGAGCTGGCACATTTGCAGAGGACCGCCATGAAGCACTTCAAGGATAAGTTGATGATCCTTGCTCTGTCAAACTACGGCTCAATCGAGCAACGCTCGGAACTGGATGGACAATTGAGCGCCCTGGACGATTCCGAGCTTGAAAGTCTCTGTGCGCACCTGGGTTTCCGGACAGATTATCCCAAACAATCCCAGGTGACGCCCACTCGACATCTCTATCTCGAAATACTTTTGTCATTCTACGAGCGCAGGGTACCGTTTCAAGAGACTGCATCTCAGCTCAGCATTGTGCCCACAGAGAAAGATCTCTATGACCCTTCATTGTTGCGAAACGAAACCTATGACGGATCTCGGCCGCTTGCCATTCCGAAACTGAATCTTCAATATTTGAGCCTTGGCGACTTTCTTTGGCGGTCGTTCCTACTGTATCGTTCAGAAGCTTTCTTCCAGATCCGTAAGGATATGGAAGCAATTATCAAGCGGATGCAGCCTCGATCAAGCCGCGATGGCAAAACGCTGACTTTCGATGGTTTCTCGCGAATGGCCATTCCCATCTCGAAACCAGCCATAATCGAGGTTGCGCCTCCTAAAGTAGGCTCTTCAAACCCAGCTTTTGTAAGGGCTGAGATTGCAATTGAAGTTGGCAGGTTAGCAGATCACATTCGAAAGGAATGGGACTCACTTCGTCCAGATGACGTGGTCTTCCTTCTAGCTGTCCAACCCGGTACCGCGAACAAATCCATTGTCCGGGACAGCTCAGTAGAGACTCCGAGTCTCATACATCTCAGGACTGCAACAGTGGTTCAGGTTCTTGATGAACAGGGTCGCCCACTTCGTGAACCAGTTGCGGGCCATACGAATGGATATCAATCTCGACCTCGCCTCCGTAGATTGCTCCTCAATCTGGATCCATCCGCTTTCAAGGCTGATAAGGATAGCACCTTACAAGGGAAGCAGGACATTTATCCCTTGATGAACGTGATTGCGAGACGGAAAGGGCGGGAGAACAATTTCAGGTCGATACTCGAGAACATGCAGAGACTCATCGTCTCTGATGTTGCCCTTCCCTCTTGGATTCAGGATATCTTTCTAGGATACGGAGACCCTGCAAGTGCCAGGTATACTGAAATGCCAAACCGACTGAGCTCGGTTGATTTCCGAGATACTTTCTTGGACTGGCAGCACCTGGTGGAGAGTTTCCCGGGATCCACCATTGAACCCTCGGGCAACGAGGCTTCGAGTTTCGGCCCCCCATACGTACTTGAATATGTTGAAAATTCTTCCAAGGCCCCTTCAACAACATCATCGAAGAAGCGGCGGAGGGATCCGGTCGAAAAGGAAAAAACAAGTGCAGGAGTGATCCGCGTGTCCACATACAAACAGCCGAACCCAGGTCCCTATCCAGTCGATGCTCCCAAGCTCAACGCCGTTCGTTTCACCCCAGCTCAGGTTGAAGCTATCGCATCCGGCACGCAGCCCGGACTGACTGTGATCGTTGGCCCTCCTGGAACTGGTAAAACGGATGTTGCAACTCAAATCATCAATAATATTTACCACGACTTCCCGAACGAGCGTACGCTTCTGATCGCGCACAGTAACCAAGCCCTTAATCAATTGTTCCAGAAGATTGTGGCCCTGGACATCGATGAGCGTCATCTTCTTCGACTCGGCCATGGTGAAGAGGAACTCGAAACCGAAACTAGTTACAGCAAATACGGCCGTGTCGAGTCATTCCTTGAAAACCGCAATTACTTCCTCGCTGAAGTGACACGCTTAGCGGCGTCGATTGGTGCAGAAGGCGCACACGGTAGTTCCTGCGAGACGGCTGGATATTTCAATACAGTCTACATTCAGCCAGCGTGGGCGAAATTCTTCGACCATGCTCGTGCCGAAGGTACAACGACTGAGGACATTATTGCATCTTTCCCATTTCATGCGTATTTCTCGAATGCACCACAACCTGTGCTGGATCCGGCCGCTTCGAAGGAGACATTGCTTGATGTGGCGGAGGGCTGTCAACGGCATATCGACAGGATCTTCTCTGAATTGGAGGATATTCGCCCATTCGAGATTTTGAGGCAATCCCGCGACAGGGCAAACTATCTTCTTGTGAAGGAAGCAAGAATCATTGCTATGACATCTACACATGCGGCAATGCGTCGCCAGGAAATCGCCGACCTCGGCTTTCAATATGACAATGTCGTGATGGAAGAGGCGGCGCAGATTACTGAGATTGAAAGTTTTATTCCCTCCGCCTTACAACGCATGAAGAATGGCGAGCTCCCTCTGAAACGCGTGGTTCTTTGCGGCGATCACCTTCAAAACTCTCCGATTATTCAGAATCTTGCTTTCCGCCAGTACGCCCATTTCGAGCAGAGTCTTTTCCTTCGCTTGGTAAGACTCGGTGTTCCTGTGATTAATCTTGATCAGCAAGGCCGAGCAAGACCTAGCATAGCAGATCTCTTCCGGTGGCGTTATAAGCAACTTGGAGATTTGCCGATTGTCCACACGGCTCAAGAATACAAGCAGGCGAATGCTGGCTTTCAGTACGACTATCAGTTCATCAACGTCCCAGATTATCAAGGGAGCGGAGAAAGGGAGCCCACCCCTCACTTCATTCAGAACCTGGGAGAAGCCGAGTACGCTGTCGCCATTTATCAGTACATGCGACTCCTCGGGTATCCAGCATCAAAGATATCCATTCTTGCTACCTACGCAGGCCAAACGGCCCTGATCAAAGACGTGCTTGCCCATCGATGTGCTAAAAATGCACTGTTTGGCATGCCCAAGATCGTGACAACTGTGGATAAGTACCAGGGTGAACAAAACGACTGTAAGTTGAATCATCTCTCGCGATAAGTGGATGGTATGCTGACCTGGGATCTGCACAGACGTTATTCTTTCCCTTACGCGAACCCGCACGGTGGGCTATCTTCGTGACGTTCGCCGCCTTACGGTTGCTCTTTCCCGTTCCCGTCTGGGTCTCTATATCCTCGGTCGTCGCGAGGTGTTCGAGTCATGCTATGAACTCAAGCCGGCCTTTGACCTTCTCCTCCAGCGCCCTGACAGACTCATGTTGGCCACGGGCGAAATGTTCCCAACAACACGATCGCTGGACGACGAGGTGCAGGGTACGCCTATGGAGGGAGTCGAACATCTCGGGCAATATGTGTTTGAGATGACTCAGGCCAAGGTTAAGGCCATGGGTGACCAGGATATCGTGGTAGACGATGTAATGCCTGATGGGGAAGACGAGCTGTTGGATGAGGATGAAGTCATGCTTGGGGCGGGCGATGAGCCTGAAGAGGACCCATTGCATGAGCATGCTTGAATAGCAGCGTAGGAGTCAATTGATGCCAACAGCTTGACATCATCGTTTCTTCTAATGGTGTAGTCTGTCTGTAGGGTTGCGTTCGGAGTTCTTGTGTATATTCGGGACCTGATCCGGTATAATAGGCTATGTCTTTGTGGTTTGCGTTTGACTTAAACCCCAGTGCCTGAAGACATGGGGTGGAAAAATAGGAGGATGCATGACTGGGATCTCTTAAGGGGCCGCCTTTTCCATTGTGTTTCAAGTGTACTTATGTGTGATGTGCCTTGGCCGCTGTATCCTCGCGCCTCCTATCCCCCGTCCATCAACCAACCAGGTGAATATATTCCGAAGCGCGGTCAGTAATTTTGAGGCCATAAGAGATGCGCAAAAGGTTCATTCTTTCTATGTACAACGGCATTCTTAAGTTGCTTCGATCTATAGAGACTTCTCAGATTCTCTAGGATGGGAACCAGATGTATATATGCGCCTCCGGAAGGACTGTCTCAGCCGTGATGGAAAATCCACCAACTCTAAGAGTGCAAGCCGGCAAGATATGCCGATTTTTCTACGATTCCTTGCGTCCACCGAGTTCCTCAACAATGTTTTGGGGGTCCTTCCAGGCGAGAGCAACGTACCTGCCGGTCAAAGCTATCAGCTATTCGAAGGATCTGATCGGTGAAGCGTGAAGACGTACTTTGTATGACTGCCTCTTGCGAAGACCTCGCCTTTGGAGTTCATGAACTTGATGTTTGTGTATGCTAGAGTTTTCCCGACTGTCGACTTGGTTAGGCATATCGATGGACCAAAATTCGCATGGTCTAGGATGACATGGGCCTGCGAGGGCTCGTCCTCTGACCACTAATAGGACTTACACTTATCGCAAGTGACTTCCTGCATGCAAGTCAGTAATCTTATAAAGAGCTCTACCTAAATGAAGCTCGAAAAACGTACTGCTTGGATCCTGTCTCCAACTTTACCTCCAGAACTCAGGTATGTTACTTGTGATAGAAGCTCGTATCAGTATAGTATCAACCTTGACTCATCCGGTGCATATGGTCTGGCATACCATTAAGATCTGTCGAGACACCAGTCGCGAACAAACCTCGAGAGGCTACGGCTAGGGAGCCGCCAAGGTCCACTAGACTCAATAGTCAATGGGATGGTAAAGAGGGCGACGAATCTCATCAGTATACAGTACCCATGCTGGCGATTGTCCCTCCATGAAGGATGCTGAGTCTATTCTAGTGCCATTGTTAATGTATGGTGAAGAGTAAGATGCAAGTAGGGGACTTACCGTGTGCTCTTTCTGGATATCAAGCTCAAAGTTGACAGTTCCAGGTCGTGCAGCAGTTACACGAAGCTGCGAAGGCGGTTATTAGTATATCCCGATGCGCTTGTCCGATGCTGATCGCCAGTGGGATCCCAGGCGTAACAATCGCAATTTTCGATGAGGTGCAATAGCAAAATCTTACATTATCAAGCAGGCTGTGACCTCAAGAGATATCATCAGCGACTGTCTTGCTCGAGTGTTTATATGAGCCCTCTGTCAGTACTTACCGAGGCTCTAACCCTGAGGTAGCCCGAAAGGACTCCCAGACCTGTACAAAATGGTCACTATGGAAGTATCATTAAGAAATAAATGGAATGTGATACTTACAGATCTGACAAATCGCAAAGCTGTCATATTCAATCAGTGCGAAAATTATAATTGAAGATGTGAGGAATAGGAAACGGGGAAGCAAATGGACTATGAAGAACGTATCGGCATACTTAGGTGGGAGAGTCTACGGAGGAAGCTAAACAGTGAGATCATCGCCGACTGCGCTTTGTGGCCGCTATGGTCACCGGACAATATCTATTGCAACTTCTCCACCGGACACAGATTCACCACTACCTAGTTATCATCACCCTTCATCGTCGAGGCTTTTCAGTGTCAGCGCTTGATGATGCTGCAGAGATAACGAACTATTTCTGGTCCTGCAGGCAAGATGGCTGCGGCACCACCCCGTCCCTTCGATTACCTGGAGAGCTTGCCTGGGACCGTCTTCAACAAGCTCTACCAGCAGCCCTCCACTGCTCTCGCCATTTTCAGGCGCATGCTGCCTGATCTGGGTACGTGCTTGCGTTGCCATCGTACAGAGAGCTCCTTTTGGACTGATAGACCACAGCAAAATGTTTTGTGATGGCGCTTCTCTACGTTAAGGACCCACTTCCAGCGGCGGATTTGGAGGCCTGGGTCAAACCAGACAGCTTGAAGTGAGTATTGCCACTTTCTCAATGTGAAAATATTGGGAAATATAGTCGCTGACTCACAGAAGAGAGCGAGATGATGCGCTTTCAACGCTGGGCAGGTTGCATATCATGACAAACACTACGACGTCGGATAACGTAAAAGCATACATCGTCACCGATCCTTTTGCATCCTCTCTTCGGCAGGCTCTCACCGGTGCTGAGCAAACTCAATCATTCGGTGTTTTATCGCGGATATCTGACGAGGAAGCTGTCTCCATCGCGGATCTGGACGAGTATGCTAGACGGCAGTGGGAAGGAGTTCTGGGGTACATGGTGGGGACGAGTGGACTGGGAATGCAACGCGACGTCAATTTGAGCAAAGGCGTGAAGGAGCTCTTGCAAGCCGGCCACCTCGTCGAGATCAGGGATCGTCGAGTAGAAATTACTCAGGACGGATTCGCTTTCGTTCTACAGGACGTTGGCACTCAAGTGTGGCATATCCTGATTCTTTATGTTGAGAGCGCAGCGGCCATCGGTATGGACAGCGTCGAGGTTCTTTCCTTTGTGTTTTTCTTGAGCAGTTTGGAACTGGGAAAATCGTATGAGAAGAAGCAGTTGACATCCAACCAATTGCGCACTCTGACCGACTTGGCCGACTTTGGTATCGTCTACCAAGAAACCCCGGATGCCAATCATTTCTACCCGACGCGCCTCGCAACCACCTTGACCTCCGACTCCAGCGCTCTGAGCAATCCTATCTCTGGCTCCCTTTCCGGACCTACGGGCACAGCCTCGAGCAAAGCCGGTTCCGGGTTCATCATCATCGAAACGAATTACCGGCTCTACGCATATACCTCCTCACCGCTCCAGATTTCTCTCATTGCACTTTTCACCACGTTGAAATACCGCTTCCCGAATTTGATCACAGGCAAAATCACCCGCCAGTCCGTCCGGCGTGCAGTCGAGATGGGCATCACCGCCGATCAAATCATCTCTTACCTATCGACACACGCACACCCACAAATGCGCAAGCACAATGCGTCCAGGTCTACCTCTAATCAAGCCGGAATGCCGGCATCCGTCCTACCGCCTACCGTCGTGGATCAGATTCGTCTTTGGCAGCTCGAGAGAGATCGCGTCAAAGCGACGCATGGGTTTTTGTTCAGGGACTTCAATAGTCTGGCCGAGTACGAGGCTCCGTGTCGATATGCCGAGGAGATCGGCGTTCTGGTCTGGAAATCTGATCGGAAGCGGATGTTCTTTGTCACTCGACATCACCAAGTTGCTGCTTTCTTGAAGAGCAGGAGGAAGTAACTGAATTGCAGACTGGGAACCGGCGTAGCCGATATTTCCCACAAGACTAAAATTAGTTCGATGATGCAATTTTTGACAAGCATGGTATGGCGTTGGGACGTTCTGCTCTTAAATACGGCGAATATGCTAAAGAGTCTGTGGTCTCTGAGCTCCTCAGTCAGGATTATAATAAATTCTACGCATCAGACAGGCTACTTGCAATGGCTTGTTAGAAACAGATGTAAATATCAAACTCCGGTGTCATTCTAGATACAGCAATTTGCAACCCACACACTTCAAACCGATGACTCCTGCGATTGCCTTGCCCAGCAGATAGACATATGACTAGTGTATCCCGACGCCTTCATGACCCAAACTCCCAACCGACACATTGATATGGCCCAGATACCCATAATCCAATGAAACGCCACATGGTGAATACACCCAAACGATCTTTCATCAACAGTAAACTTTCACAAAACAGCCTCATCACAACATCCAACGATCTCCATGAATAGCAACGTACTCGTCTCTGAACTCTCTCAGACTAGCAGTCGCCTCCTCAGTCACGCAAACATTCTCAAGAACCATGAAGGCGCGCTTGACACGATAGTTCGCAAGATTCGCATCGGGTTGAGCTAAAGGCCGGGAGTAGCTCGACAGCATGCCAAATCCAGTGGCGATATCGGGCTCATTGAAAGAATCCTCGTAGTGGAACGCGTTGGTGAGGGTCATGAAACGGCCAAGCCAATACTGACGGGGTTGTGCTTCGGATACCTGAAAGCCAGCAGGAGTAGTCGTGGTTAGCGTTCTCTGCTTGTTGCGTGGGATTCTGCTGGTGTGATCATCATCGTTGGGCAGTACCATTCTCTGAGTGCGATCTTTGTTTCTGGTCGTCGGCATCTTTGCCGTTGGCTCGGACTGTTGGCTTGAGATGGAAACGCTCTGCTCTTGGTCGTCATCGGATGCTAGCTGTGCAATGACCTCTTCTTCAATCTGAAAAGCCTTCAGGTCGGCGAATCCTCTGCTCATCCGTAGTATCTTCGGCTGCATATTGCTCGTGCTTCTTGGGATGCGATTCGTCATCTTGTATATGGAGGCGGGCTGGTTGTCGGACAACTGACGGTGGGTGAAGGTCTGCTGTCTGAGTGGAAGAGGCTCGCTGAATCGTACTTTCTTGACTTTCAGGCCAGCGTCATTGTTTGGAACAGGGATGGTGCTGCCTCTTGTATGCTTGTTTGTTCCTTGCTCTTCTGACGCCTTTCTTCCATCTTGAAAGGCAGGAGCGCATGGCTTTGCAGGAGATCTGAGCTTAGCAGGAACAGGTATAGAACCGCGTGGAGGAGTCAATCGAATCAATGCAGGCTGGGAAGCTGAAGAGGAAGTCTTTCGGGGGATTGATGAGCGAAATTTCTTCGATGACGAGTCCAGGGCGATCTCAGCGTGCTGCTTGACGGTCTCGGTTTGCTTGGATTTCTGTCCCAGACATTTTTTACAGACTAGAACTGTTTCAGCAGCAGGTCGGACAATCTCGGCAGATTTGGCAAGCTCAACAGGCACAGCAGGCTGAATACGTAGAGTAGGTTGGGTAACTTGCACTGCCTGGACAGGTTTACCGATTTGGACAACTCGAACAGGTTCGGTAGGTCGAACATATCGAACACTTTGAGCTATTTCGACCAGCCGAGGAGGAGGAATATCAAACTCTTCATCTTCTGCGTGCTTTTTTCCAACGTTCGAGATGGACTTGTTTTCATCCTTGCTCACGTTTCGTCTGAGATTGATGTAACGCCTGCTCAGTGATGACAGAACGCTCCGTTTTCCTTCTTTCTGAAACACTTCGTGAGAGTAAATACCATTGGCTGGAGGTTCAGTGGGCGCCGGAATCTTCGAATACTTGTGTTCGGACGATGAGGTCAAAGTTGAGCCAGTGAAACTGGTGGATCTAGAAGACGTCTGACTGCTCAGTGGAGAGGAAAACGGACTGGCTCTTGCTGTCAAACGGCGGATCGATATCTTGATCTTTCTGTAAGTCTTTCCATTGGTGGCTGTTGGTTCGTTCGAATCTTCAGAGCCAAATGAGGAGGACTTAATAGGTAGAGGCATTGAGACTTGACGCTGAGAATTCCATGCTTCGTGTATCTGAGAGGTGTGACTCTTCCCTCTGAGCGAGGTCAGGATTGAGCTTTCTTTCTTGATAGGAATGAATGAGCCAAGCGAGAAGACGCGTCCACCTCTGCCATTGTCCTTTGGACCGCTGACGCTCTCGCTTCCCAGTGGCTGATAAGCGTGCTTTCCACCGCGAGTCTTGCTTCGAAGGACTTGAAGGGATCCCAACAGAGAAGCCCTACGGCTTTGCTTCTCTGTCATGGTTGGATTCGACGCAGGCAAGATGAGAAGAGTGAGGATAGACAAAATGAGTTCAGAAGTACATCTAGACAGGGAAGACAGTATGTTTAGAAGATAGCAATAGGTGCTGCATCAGAGAGGTGTAGATGGTAAGAATCAGATAGAGAGAAAGAACAGACTGAACAGTAGTATTTATGTTTATTTACCTTAAGGGTGACAGTGAATGGTTACCGGAGATATCCGTTGAGAGAGAGCAGATGTAGTGAATTGCCTCAAGTTTACCTGACACCAGTCTCATAGTAGTATGGCCTTCAGGTGGGCTAATTCTCATTCACTAACTCTCACAATCAGAAGCATCATACAGAATACTCGAAGATCTCGTCGCAGCTCGGACGAACCATGCATTGTCATCTCGTCATATTGCAGCCCAGGAGTGAACCCGTTCGCGTCTAATCAGTCATTGACTCATTTCGGAGGAAGTAGAATGCATCCTTCGGATACCTTGACAGCGCCTCCCTGAAGCTCAACAGTGTCGATCTTCTTATCCTGGTTGACCACGACCTCTACCCCGATCTCACTGCGTCTACCAATCTCCACTCCTTGCACAATGTTATACTTATACTGACCAGGTTTTCCCTCCATCAGAGACAGATAAGCCGCCAGACCGCTGGCCGCACTTCCTGTTGCTGGATCCTCCAGGTTTCCGAGAATCGCCCTGGTCCGAATGGTATTTGCACCTGTCTGTGGGTCCTTGACATTGCGGACGTAGAAGTACATCACACAGAAACCTGCGTCCCAACCTTCATCCAGATAGCCACAGCCCGCAGAGATAACCTCACCTCCCGTGGCCGTAGTGACGGCAGCGAGAGCCTCGAGGGAGGGCAGCTCGACATGGACCTGGTTCATTCCATTGACGATAGAGAAGACGGGGAAATCTGGCTCCACTTGACCGGTTATACCGAAAAAGCGAGACAAGAAAGGATGCAGTCGGATCAGTTGCTGGAGCGGGAATCTGGACCGGTGCAGCCGCGTATTATGTGCGATTTTAGCGGTTACTGCTGGCGACGGCTGTCCCGGTTGCAGCGAGATGGGGATATCCCCCGACTTGGTGGCCAGGGTCTTGACGGCTCCCTTGTCGCCTTCGTCCTGAGAAAGATATAGAAACCAGGAGGCAGCTCCTATGGTGGGATGGCCTGCGAATGGAAGTTCGCAGTCCGTGGTGAAGATGTCGATGGTGCGTTTCTCCCCTTTGTCGGCATGGACAAAGATAGTCTCTGACAAGTTGAACTCGCGGGCAATTGACTGCTTCTGCTCTTGTGTCAGACTCGGCTTGTTTGAGTCTGGAAGAAAGACCACAGCGAGCGGATTGCCGGCATACGGCTGTGACGTGAAAACGTCCAAAGTGACGAATCGGACTTGTTCAGTCATGATGGAGTGGCAGTTGGCTTGTTTGAAGTCCGATAAAGTTCGAGCTGCTGGAGGAATCTTGATTTGCAGCTTCTTTGAGACACAAAGTGAGTAGAAGTATTGGGATTTTAAGGTCTCATACCCGCTTCGTCCGTGGATCTGTGACTCATCGCGACAAAGCTCGTGCTGCCGTCTCGTAAGGCTACTCGCTACTATCAGGAGATAGATTCTATTGACCAAATATCGATCATTTGAATTGAAGAGGCTTATTCGATTATGATTGAGCTCTGATTGTTGTCAAAAGATTATACTCCTCGTAGACTACCTTAGGGCTTGAAAGTGCCGCAGCTCCATAGTTCATCGAGATACGGAATGGCGCAACGTGAGATAATATCACTTCATTTGTTTAGAGGTTGATGGTGGTGCTTTGTCGATTGCTGTCGATTGCTGGAAAAACTCGATAGGTAGTGGTAATATGAGCACCTTGAGTCTGTTAACTTAGTGGATGCACATCTACATGAATGCTTTTCTGATTTGGTATATTTGCGAAAATGTACATTCATTCCCATGCCCATCAAGACCGAACCCGAACACCGCATGGAATTATCATTACAACATGATAGGTATACGTCTCACTCTGAATCGCTTTCTATGACAAACCCAGCTCGCACTCTTCGCCGAGGCGGTGCAGCGACAGGTGCTTCATCCTCATCTTCATCTATAGTATCGGGCCCGGCATCAGGTCCAGGGGGCTCGGTCTCGCTATCATCGTCATCCGCACTCGGAACTTTGTCTCTGTCACGATTTCGGCTGAAAGCTAAATCATCGTCAAAATCGAGTTCATCTTCTTCGGAGGTAACCGGTGTGTCTTCAACACCGGTAGCACCTTGGAGAGAAGGCGAGCCTAGTCCGGGAGAGTCTGGCGATCGAGCCTCCGTACCGGTCATAACAAGATCGTTATTTTCGTCGAGCTCTTCAGTCCGCTGCTGGCGTCGCTGTCGCTTGCTCTGAGTATCTGCGGTCGAGGCAGTGTGCTGATCGCTTTGCCGCTTGCGCCCACTGCCTTTCTTCCGTGGTTTCTCACTAACCTCTTCGTCGACCCCGTGAAGCAGAGCCTTCCTGATTCTTTCTGCCTGCTCTTTTCGTCTCTGCTCCTCGAGTCGAAAGAATTCACGGTCTGCTTCTTCATCTGTTTCCTCATCACTGGCGTGAATATATAGATCGCTCTTGATCTTCGCTTGTCGAGCTAAAGCATTTTCCAGGCGTGCTCGACGCCGTTCCTCCAAGTCTTGTTCATCAGGCTCTTCTTCTTCTCCAACTTCCTTGCGTCTCTTTTTGCGCTGTTTCTTCAATTGCTCGAGGGCGTTAGCTCTTGATCGTGGGTTGGGTGGGAACAGCGGCCCATCTGGGATGTTGTCATCACCCTCAGAATCGGATCCGAAATTTACGTCGGCCGTTGGGTCATCTCCGTCTCGTCTTGTATTGTTTCCTGATTTTCGCCTTATCAACTGGCTCAGGTCCCGGTCAGAGTTCTCCGTGACAGGCTCAGTCAAACACTGTTCAATGATGGATCTCGTGTGCCGAAGATCTTGAGACGTGAGTGATGAAGGGACGATCCATGAGGCTCCAGGTACATCCTCCATTCCTAGACGTTCGAAGCGAACCAAGGTCATGAGGAGGCGTAGTTTGGCGTTGGAGAACATGGCCTTCTGGCATGACTCGTTGTTGGGTTTGACAGCTGTTCCATGTTAGTCATCGTACGATCAGCCAGAAAGATCAAAAGACGTACGAATCATTGGGTTGGGAGCTTTCTGTTCCTCTGATTGCTGTTCCTGACTTTCCCAGGACTCTCTTTCATCGGCTGCCGAATTTAAGACATCACTGACCCATTTGACCAGGTCAGTCTGCTCATCCTTGACCATGACATGCACAACAATCTTTATTTTCTCGTCGGTTGTCTTGGCTTCTCTCGGGTCAACTTCGAGCTCAGCCGGAGGTCTTTTAGAGACGGATATTGTCTGTTTCTCATGCCCAAACTCCAGATAGAAAACGGTTGAGTTGATCTTACTGAACAGGAGCTCTGTGATCAAAGCCGGCCGTTGATCAATTTTCTTGATCATGCGCCGAATAATTTGCCGGACCAATTCCTCCCATTCCTTGAAGATCGACTTGTTTGAGTCCAAGGCACCCGGACCTTTGATCATGCGATAGAAGAGGTTGATGATGTCAAGGCGGAAAAGCAGAACGCTCATCTCTTGCTTGAAAGCTATCCTATAAAAATAGCGATGGGCTCGTTTCAATTGGTCCACATTCAGCTCTTTATAGTACTTGGTAAAAGCGATAAACGTGTCAACACACTTCTGGTTGCAGAACTTGGCAGCAAAGCGCCTGAAATCGAATTTGCGCTCCTTCGAAATTCTTTCGGCGTCCATCAAGTCTTCATCTTCAGATGCGTGCTCCTCGCCATCGCCTTCGATATCGGCCTGTTCAGCTTGTTTGGCTTTACGCTTTGTGCGGCGACGGGATCGGATCTGCATATCCACGTTCTCCTTGGAGTAACGCTCCAACATCTTCAAGAAAACATGAGCAAGCTCTGTGCATGCATCCAGGTAGCCAAATCCTTGGTCTTTGTACCCACGAATGATGGCGATGATGCGGTCATGGGTAGTCTCTTCATAGAAGACTCGATTCTGGATGTTGTCGGCAATCTCTTGATCTTCTTCAAGTGGTGACTGAGCCATCTCTTGTACAGTCAACAGAATTTGCGTGAAACAGCGCATTTCCGCATTGAGGTCTTCCACATCTTTGTTGTCATAACTGTACTGCATTGAGCGGTTCAGAAAGACAAATGTTTCCTGGTTGAGGACACTGGCAACAAGTGCAAAACTATCAGGTTCCAGCTCCTTCAACGACTTGTCACCCAGATATCGTTTTTCACGTTGATGTGCTCGCCGCACACGCTCGGCTTCAAGAAACCAGGCAACGGCATAAAAGAATTGTCGTGTATTGATTTCCATGACTCGATCAGCTTCGCGTTCAATGGCTTTTCGGACGTGAGTGAAAAGCGGGTTGAAGCCGGAATCCAAAAACTCTTCTACGAACATTCGCAGATTCTTTGTCGCGGTCGAGTTGAGATGGACGGGCGTGTTAAAGTCATTGTTCGCCGTCACCTCGGTTTGTCTTCGACGCATCTGAGGCTTGTTCCACTTTTTGCTCTGATCCATCTTGTGAAGGGTTGTCTGGCTATCTTTGAGCACATCTTGTCCGGACACGGTAGAGACCTTGGCGTCATCGCGTTTCACCCAAATCATTGTCCCAAACCTGCCATGCCGGGTCGGTGCGTTCTTTGCATATTCCCGCCGCAGAGATGATTCCTTCTGCAAAAGTTCACCGAGCTCGTCTGTGCGCTTTGCTTTTCGTTGGGCCTCATTCATGAAGAGTTTCTCCACGTTGACTCCCTTGACAATGTGGAATAATATCTCGAGGAGGACCACATCTTGAAGGCTGAAATCATCTCCCACATTGGAGCACATGGTCAGAAGAAGAGCGAAAGCATCTTGATCCTGGAAAGCATTAATGGTCGCGGATCTTGACGTTTCCTCTTCATCACCCTCCGCCGCGAGGCGAGTATTTGGCGAAATCACCGCGATATTTCGAAGGAAGTAGAGCATAAGCTTCAGGATTCCTTCATCCCGAGTCGTTCGTTCGGATCGAGGGACTGCCATGCTGGGGAGGCCGATTCGGATGATGGTTCGAAGAATGCTGTCGCTACTATGGCTGAGAATGCCACGTTTATAGAGAACCTGGGCTTGTTGCAAATACGGTATGTGTCGATGATGGTTGACTGTCATTTCACTGTGTAGCTCCAATGGCCATGTCAGAGGCACCAACAATTCCACTGTCCTTTGTCAGATCCACGGATCATCGTGCTCCTTTTCGTACCCATTCAGCTCACTTACGGCACGCCAATGCAATCCTCGACATGTGTTTGCTCTTTTGACCACTAGTTGACCAGAGAGTCAAGATTGGCAGCAGGTCGCCGTTGACAAGATTCGCTTCCCCCAAACATCGCGCAACATCCATGCGATTGTTCTTTTCATCGTATAATTTCAACCAACGCTTAATATCTCGTAGACAAGCCAGTGCATCGTCACCCAGGACGTAGCGGTCCACGTTCTCGCCATTGAAACCTCCGAGCTGCAAACATTAGCACAACTTCTTACCGATGAAGGATGGTATCGACTCTACTTACTGCAGTAACAAGGCTATAAACATGAGCGCGGACATCAGGGTCTACGACCTGGACACTCTCGCTCAATGGCGCACCATCTTCATCCATAGTCGCCGCTTCAATTCCGATCGTCCGCCGATGCTGTTGTCTAGCAGACTGATAGCATCACCATAAACATTGATAGTGATGAAAAGCCCACCTTTTAATTCGCGCCCATCGCAGCAGCCAATGACAACGCGTTATCTCACGCGTCACGCGTTTATTAGAATGGCCAACCTCGGCTTACCGGAGAAGGTATTTAACCGACGGCCGAAGATAGCCGATGACGTCGGATCACATGAGTCGGGTGTATATGGAGGAAGACAGGCCAATATCCCATAGATCTTCGGCTGTTTTCGTTTGCTTTTCTCTCATCGTCTGTGTTCAATCTTTTTTTTTTCTTTTCTTAGCAGGCAGTTATCATCTTCTCTAGCCATGTTCTCAGCTTCTGTCCGGGGTGTGGCCCGCGTAGGCTCGTCAATTACCTCTCGTACCTTTAGCACTTCCACCACCGCCTATGCTGCCGAGGTTAAATCACTGGGTGTGATTGGGGCTGGTCAAATGGTGAGCACGCTTCTATACTGTAACTTTTCTTGAGGTCAAATTCTAAGTGGTATGTAGGGTCTGGGTATTGCTCTTGTTGCTGCATCAAAGGCCCAAGTTCGCGTTACCTTGATCGACAATTCCCAGGCGTCTTTGGACAAGGGTCTCACGTTTGCCGGTATGCTGGATACCGTCCAATTGTCCACTACACTTCTGTAATTCCCAGGATATTTCAATTAACAATCAATCCGTTCCGCCTCAGACAAGCTCCTTGCAAAGGATGTTTCCAAAGAGCGCCTCACTCGGGAGGCTGCCGATGCCGTTCGTGCGCGCATCACTCCCAGTCAGAACATGGACGACCTTTCGTCCGTGGATTTTGTGATCGAGGCCGTTCCCGAGATACCCGACCTCAAGACCTCCATCTTTTCGAAGCTCGCTCAAATTGCACCCAAGCACGCCATCCTCGCGACAAACACCTCGTCTATCTCCATCACTAAGATCGCTGCTGCCACTACAACAAATCCGACAGATCTCCAGGCTCCTTCCCGTGTGATCTCCACTCATTTCATGAACCCCGTACCTGTTCAAAAGGGTGTTGAGATCATTGCTGGTCTGCAGACGTCCAAGGAGACCATGAACACTGCAATTGCCTTTGTGCAGCGCATGGGCAAGGTTGCAGCCGTTTCGGCTGATTCCCCTGGTTTCCTCGCTAACCGTATCCTCATGCCATACATCAACGAGGCTATCATCTGCCTGGAGACTGGAGTTGGTGCCCGCGAGGACATTGATAGCATCATGAAGAATGGAACAAATGTTCCCATGGGACCTTTGACCCTGGCTGACTTTATTGGTCTTGACACCTGCCTGGCTATTATGAATGTCTTGCATCAGGAAACTGGAGACAGCAAGTATAGACCGTCTGGGCTGCTCAAGAGGATGGTTGATGCTGGTTGGCTGGGTAAGAAGAGCGGAAAGGGCTTTTACGACTACTAGCCTGGTGACTCGCTGCGATGTTTGAAGTAACATATAACGTGATATCCCTGCTGTATACCACCGCTTGGCTATATACCATATCAAACGAAGGACTGAATAACCGGCATTGAAATCTTAAATTTTGAAACGATTAATTGCATTTGCTTCGTTATCAAGGGTCGTCGAAGTCACACGTCAGCATGGGAATCTAGCAAAATAATGGTTCATAGTACAACAAAGCATATCGCTTCAAAATCAATGCATTAGCCAGTTTCATCGATGGATGTTTGTGCTCTTCGCCATCGACACCTATTCTTCCAGCTCTTTCTCAGCGAATGTCATGGCAGCCACGATAGCAGCAAGCTCATCTGCATCATGTGTGCCCAATCCGTCTCCAGGAGGCGCTCCGCTTTGGCATTCTGCGGTTACGTTCCCTAACGCATTGTGATGGCAGAGAAGCCATGGTCCACCACATTTGTAGCTTGGCTGCGTCAGTATCTCGTATTGAGCAAAGATGAAATGAGGAATAGGACTGACCAAAGATCAGCACCACATCTACAAGTTATACGTTCGCAGCCCTCATCACGCTCAACCATTGCCCCACAGCGAAAGCATCTCTGCCAGCCTTGAGTTCTAGCGAGTTCGAGAAATTCAGTCAGTCCAGGATCGAAGGAACATTTGCCAGGTGCATGGGCCTTGTCCCGACAGCCTGGGCAGATGGCAGTGTCACAATATGGGCAGAGCTGCGTTGGTGGTTGACTCTTCAACCTCCCAAGCGGTATCCATTTCCCGCATCTTATCGCGGGGCAATACCAACGTTCTGTGGCCGGTGTCGCATACTCCTGCGTCTTCAGCTTAAAAAGGGCTTTCTCCCTCTCTGTCAGTTTCGAGATGACTTGCTTGGACGGAATCACCTGGGAGCAGCACTTCGGCGGAAACAATTGCTCATTTGCCATGGCTGTGAGTGCCAATCGGCAGAAACAATGATCACAGTATTTGTGCTGGCAAGGGAGAATCTCCAAATCCTTAACAGATTTGCTGCTGAAGCAGACCGTGCAACGTCTGTTTGCAGTTAGTACATAAGCTACGCAATAGAGCTACTCAAGCTGAGCAAATAGAACTTACTCCTTCTTTCGTGATAATCTTTGGCAAAGGCCCGCCATGCTGTCAATGACACCAAATCTTGCGAAGAGACAAAGGCTCTTAAGCCCTGCAATATGGGTTCGCAAGTGCGAATCAGACTTTCCGGACACATCCATATTGCGCCTGGTCGTCGCACGATGAGCGCCTGCGAATATTGATTTCTTGTCCGAAGCACCTCCTAATGGAGCTATCACCCGAGCATCACTCGCAAGCAGTCGCTCCTCTTCAGCTCGGCTCTGGATGAGGCCGGAAATCAAAGATGATAGAGTGATAGAAGACATGATTGTTAGCTCGGTTGATTTATGACCATGTTCCCAGCTATCCTGAGAACGAGGATAATCAGTTGCTGTCAAAGCTGTCGATCGCGATATGCGCCCTTAAACTGCTTCGGCTGATCGTAAAAGTAGCATGGCAATTTGTCAAGAACAGTGGTTGTCGAGTCACTGGTCAATATAGCATGATAGTATGACGAGATGAAGTCTGTAGTATGGTTCTGGCAGATATGTGCCCTTCATCATTTCGTCAGTATTGGGCTGGAAAGGTTTGAGAAGAATTTGGTATGACTCCTTCCGATGGCACCCTCAACCGAGGGCATATCGCAGGTGCCTGAGCGAAGGCGCCATGGTTCGAGCGTCTCTCAACCTGCCACATGTCCACGGCCCGTTTTCTGAGAGTGATCCAGTCCTTGTTTCGGCGGGGGTGGTGTTCTGGCTAAAAAAAAAAAAAAAAACTGAAATCATATGGAGAAAAAGAGTGTGAGGTACATCTCTAATGTCGGACGTGTAAATCACTGACGTGTAAATCTTGATGGAGCCAGCGCGGGGACAATGATAATAACTAATATCATCGCTTGCTGATGATGTAGCCGGAGTTTTTGCAAAAACTTCTGGTAACTTCATAGACGATCTCGACGCCTGATAGGAGCAGCTGATTCTGCGAACAATCAGTAGCATCCATGGGTCGCAAAACAGAACACAACTAAAAACAGCCCGGAACTGCTCACTGACAAAATCTCTAGCTACGACACGTGCATCTCTCCATTCAGTCTTCGAAGTCTCAGAATCATTCACTTTATTGTCGAAGATCAAGGGTATCATTGAAAATGCAGCATTTGAAGAACAGCCCAACAACCATCATGCAGAAAACACAATAGAAATCCACTATACTCCAGTACCGATTGAGGGGGAGAGTCGCAGCAAAGTTGTGCTCAGAGAGTGCCGGAAAATTTTCGTCCCGCCCATGAAGAGCCATACTCCTGATATTCCTGACGGGTGATAGCGAGTTTTTTCAACTCGTCTCTGTTCGTTGCCAATCGTGACGCTCCAAGCCATGTAGAACGTATGGGGCTAAGGTCAAGCGGAATGAGAACGTGTTTCAAGGGAAACTGTCAAGGTGAACTTACTCATGAGGGCGCCGAACTCTGACAACGCATTCTGCTGAAGCTAGCTGTCGCAGCTCGCTTTCTCTGAGAAGATGTTAGAACCGAGAGTGATGATAGTCGTAACATAGCAGCCTTACAATCGTTCCAAAAAGCCTGGAATCAATGTATTACCTCCAACAACCAGAACATTCGCTAAAAACGACGGATGTAGTCCGGTAGGCAGAACTGAAAGACTCTGAAGAATGATGTCTGGAATGCCGGCTTGCTTCATGCCAATGTCACTTGGTGTGAATAGTATCTCTGGCACAGTAAAGCGTTCATTCCCCAGAATCAGCACGTCCTCGGACAGAGCCTCAGAATTGCCGCCAGAAAGGATACTCTTCCGCTTCTTCGCATTCGAAAGAGGGTCATGCGGTCGCATGAAGCCCTTCTTGCCTGTGTTGGGGTCAGGCAGCACATAATCAACTGTGATCCCTTCGGCTGCGTCCGTCGAGCCACGTTTTCGGTTGCCCTGCCATGTCTGTTCCAAGTCACTAGCAAAGTCATTGCTTACGAAGCAAACAGCCTCCTTAACCTCGTTCATGATGTAAGTTTCATCAACCATGTTGTACTGCCTCATGGACACCATCTCTTTCAGGTAATTTGTTAGATGTTTGCCACCAATGTCGAGTCTCCGAATAGCGCGCTGGATAGCTTGCCCTTTGTAAACTGGGGTTACTGTTGTATGAGAGTAGCCGGAGTCAACGACAAGCAAGCATTCCTTCGGTGAGATCGGAGACGAAGAGTCTTGTCCGATAGGGTCTCCGAACAAGGACTGAACTTCATTCCAAGCATTCAGCGTCGGTCCTAGGACATCAGCTTTAATAACCAGAGGTAAGACGGCAGGGGAAGAAATCCGGCTCGCTTACCTATACATCTCATATAGCCGCCAAAGCCCCATTCTTCCATCACAATCTCATCAGCATTCTTTTGTAGGGTCGGCAAAGCATTCGGTGCCTCAGTAAGCACGAGCGTTGTATCTTCTGGAGATTCAATCCGAAGATCTTTCGACCGCACCGTCTTCTCATCGAAGAATGCATTCTCCCATATTTCCTTCTGTGCTTCCCAGTTGACAATGTACCCTTTCTCCACTGGTCGCCTAAACACCATCTCGTTCCAATCGGTAACTTGCGAGTTGAGCTGCGCACCAATGTAGATACGATTTCCGCGTGTCTTGGCAATGGCATTCGGGATGGCACTGCAGGCTGAAAGAGCCTGATCTAAATCTTTGGGGGGTGGAAGCTCGGGCGCATACCCAGCTTTCATGGTATATGCGCCATTGTCGATAATGAATGTCTTCTCCGGTAACGACTGGACTTTTGGAGCGGAGTCTCGTGCGGAGGTGCGAGGTTTAGTAGCGCCCATCCTGTCAATGAAACGTACTTGATTTTTTTTCAACTTATTGAAGTCTGTTCGACATCATCTGAAAAATTCTTCTCAACGGACTGGTGCTGTGATGAAGAGAGAGTCGCGTACGTGATTGATAACAACAACAAATATCGGAGCTCAGGCCGAAGGAGTTTGTCCGATCCAGACGTCACAAATGAGGAAATGAGGGCACATGCCAAGGCCCGCGCCAACTGGACAATATTGATCGCAGGTGACCCCGCAGAGCCCTAATCAGTAGTTGCCCCGCAATCTCTACAAATTTCTCCTCAATTACCTCTGTTTTCTCATATGCAATAACAAAGCCAAGCTCGGTATTTCGGATCATCAAACCCTCCCAAAATGGCAAAACAGCTTCGGGTCAGTCTAACGACGACTCTCAACCTCCTGGAACAACTCCAAGCAGCTCTTTCAGCCTCCGCCGGTGATACCAAGGCCGCTGAACTTTCGGGAAAGGATGCCCTTCCCCTCCTTTCCACGTCAGCCACCGCATTGAAATCCCAGGTCACAAAGCTATCCCTTCTGACGATCACTTCTCCGTTCACTCACTCGGCGGTTGGTACCGTTCTCTCGGCATTGAATGGTTCCGTGCTCCCATCTCTCGTAACGGCGGCTCTCCTTGTCACTCCGACCAATCATACAAAGGCTTTCCACGCGGAGGTGCACGCTTTGACGAAGACTACTTTGAGGGAATTGACTTCCTTGGTAACCGAAGTTCAAGTTGTCGCCGAAAGGACGGGCAAGGCAAAGGAAGGTCAAAAGAAAGGCGAAGAACTTTTGCAGGCGGAGAAGGATACTGTCACAGTTGCAACCGGGCGTGTCTGGGATTCGTGCGACACGTTGATCGATATCGCAACTAAAGGGGTTGTTGGGTTCGTGATACGGCGCGTCGAAGAGTGGCGAGATCTGGTGCGTGATGCAGTGGAGGAGATTGAGGAATGGGATCCCGATGAGGACGGAGACGATTTCTTCGATGATCTCTTGAGCGACGATGGCGAGAAAGATACTCAAGATGAAGAAGAGGAGGATACCGAGGAAAGCAGCGCTGCGCTACATGCGCAGAAGAAATCGACCCTCCGGATTTTAAAGCCTATTGCTCAGATATACCCTGCCATTGTCGCGAATCGGCTAAAGGGTGCTGGCGACGTGCCTTGCTCATCTCCTTCTGGGATTGGCAGATTAGAACACTTGATGACGAACTTGCAGCACATCCCGGAGCATGTAGATGAAGTTGCCGGAGCCCTGTACGAGGAGGATTTGAGTAAATGCACTCAATATCTCGGCAAGGTTAAACGCTACGCCACGAACGCTGTCGACTCTGTTAAACCGTCTTGGGATACGGTAGACGCCACCGGCAGTCAGCAGAAGGAAGATAAGTTCACAATATGGTCGAAAACATGGATGAATGTTTTGGATGAAGTCAGCAAATCTGTGGGGGTGGCAGATCAGGAATGAATGATACATCAAAGGAGAAACCCACCACTTATGGGTTACATTTACAGTGAAGCACTGCCGCAATTCGAGAAGACCTCTCGCGACTCAAGCACTTTATAGCCAGTTGAGAAATCTCCGAAATTTATTACAGTCGAGCAAGTGTGAAATGGCGTATATACATGGTAGGAAAATGGATCATCAAGATGGGTAAAGAAGCTCTATACACTGTACAATCAACGCAGTCCGTCAAAAGACCAAGATCCAGTGCCGAGATTCGCTAGATGCTTTCCAACTCTGAAGTCTTACTTTCCTCACCTCTCGACTCATTCCTGCACAATAGACTCCTCGTCGGGTTCCCATTCCGCAAGGTCTTCGGTTCGAATACGATCCTTCAGCCACTCAAGGATCGCATCAGTACCTTTCGCCACGACTTGCCATCGGGGAACCCGAAAGCTGTTACCTGCCACTTCGAACCTTCTCAGAGGGTATCCGGTGCCCCAATTCTTGCTGCAACCTTCGGGCCTCAGCAAGCCGAGTTTTGGCGGAAGAGAGCTGATATTGTTGTTACCAACGTCCAGCACCTGGAGGCCCTGCACAGCATCGAACTCCAAAGATTGAAATACATTGTCCGCTGCGAGAAAAGTCATCAACTTCGGAAAAACCTGGCGCACAGCAGGAAGGGGCCCCGAAAGGCGGTTGTACGAAACATCTAGGGTCGTCAAAGATGGGGCCGAAAGATTGGTTAATATCGGCTCGAGGGTCGTCAACCTAGCGGCACCTAGATTGAGGATTTGGAGATTCGGTAGTGTTAGAGGTGTGGAAAGCACGGATGAGCTGTCCAGGGGATTATTCGAGAGGTCAAGATCGGTTAGGTAGTGTGCTAGCATACTGAGAGCTGGCACAGGTATGCAGGTCAACGAGTTATGTTGCAGGTACAGGCAGCGTATATCATTGAAGTTGATTCGCTCCAACTGCTTCACGTCCACCTCTGACATTTCTGAATACGATCTATCAAGGACCCCTCCCGGTTTGACCTGCCACGACGTCATCTGAGCTGGTGTTTCTGGTGCGAGTGTGAATTGCGTGGCAACGGAGCCTTCGTCATCATCGGTATCCTGAGGCTCTGGCTCGCACCTGTTTCGCAGATCACGCTTGATATCATCTGTATTCATAGTCAAGAATTTTCGTTCTCGCAGTGGATTGTTGGCTAAGCGAAGGGTGGAAAGACTCTCCATCAATCCAATCCTTTCATCCAATCTGGATATATTGTTTCCCGTGAAGTCAACATTGCGAAGGTTTTGCAGATCGACGAACCCCTGCGGGATCGCTGAAAGACTATTGTCCTCTGCCGAGAGAGTCAAAAGCGCCCTCCAAGTACAAATGTTTGGCAAGTGCTTAATGCGATTCACGCTGATGGACAAGGTTTGAAGGCTAGGCATCTGTAGGTCTTCGCGTTCTGATATTGCTGTCAGCGCATTGCTGGTTACATCCAAGTTCTGTAACTTGTCAAGCTTCGATAGAGAAGCTGGGATCAGCGTTCCAGCCAACTTGTTCCTAGGGGCTCTGAGATCTTTAAGAGGAAGCATGCCAAGAGACTCGAAAGGGAGAGAGGTCAGTTGATTATCGCCAACATCTAGAGTCCTAAGGCAAGCCAAATCCTCGAGGCTTTTGGGCAATTCGGTGAGAGAATTGCCGCGCAAGTCCAGGACCTCCAATTTGGTAAGGTTCTTCACGTCTGAGGAGAACGAACCCTCCAAGAGATTGTTTGCCAGCTTCAAATCTTTCAGAGACTCCATTTGCATAACAATCTGAATGCTTTTCGCGTCCAATTTGTTATTGGACAGGTTTAGAGTGTGGAGCCTTTGCAATCTTCTGAAACCCATTGGAAGGGTGCGCAGCTGGTTGCCATGAAGATCCATGATCTCCAATCCGCCAAATTGATTGCCTCGTTCGTCAGTGTCTGGATCGATATCGAATAGATCGATGTCAGGGAAGGCTGCCTCCGATAACTCAACAAATTCATTGTCTGCGGCGATGAACTTGACGAGATCGACGTTCTCGTACCAATCTGTAGTAGAGTTAGGATCGAAGTCATACATAGTCATGACCTCTTTCGGTAGCTCCGTCAACGACATGGCCGCAATGTTCAAATGACCGGAGATCCGACCTGCTTCCACACGCTTGCGGAGCAACCCATGGTTCGAGTCTTTGGGCTTTTGATTGAAAGGATCTTCAACATTGAGATTGTCCCAGCCATGAACGGAGCCGTTTTGGGAACTGTTCTGCCTTGCAGATGCTTTGCGCGCGGCTTTCGCCTTAGCAATGCTCTCCCTTAATGCGCTGGATGACTTGGAAGCCTTTCTCATTTCCATCTCCGACTGTTGCTCCGTTGAGAGGTCCGGCGCATTCAGCTGAGTTGATGACTTTCTCGAATTATTTATAGGGCTGGAATCGTTCGCTAGAGCTTTCCTTGTCTTTTTCACATGAAGTGGTGGAGGCGGAGGTCCCATGTCTGAAAACGTAGAGTTTGCGGATGTCTTGCCTAGAGCTGGGCGAGGATTTGGCGACTTGCTTGTCGTATCCTTAGTCCCGTCATAGAAACTTGCTCTTATAGAAGGCTTCTTCAAGTTCGAGGTGATGTCGGTACCAGCCAAAAATGTTCTCTGGCCGGTAGAAGCGTCGTTTGAAGACAAGCTTGGAGCGGGTGATATTCGAGACCTCGAGGGAAGTCGTATTGTAGGGGATGGTTGTGAAAGGAAATCATTACCACTAGGTCGCCGCGTAGTTGATGCCCTCGAGGGTGATCTTGAGGTCATCGTAGATGGTGGCCGAGAGGGGGACCGTACCGGGCTGTTGCCATTGAAGAAACTAGATTGCCTACTGGAGGGCGCAGGTGATGGAGGAATCCGAGATAATGTCTCGATAGTCCGTTCTGACAATGAAGGTCGAGGGCGACCTCGGCGTTCTGCATCTTCCACAGCGGCATCTGTTCCCAGTATGGGGGCTTCATCCAGGGAGCCTCCTGCGTTTTCCGACCGTCCACCACCGCTCGATATGCTGTTGGGAATGTCTCTCTTTTGTCGAGGTTTCTCGGGGGTCTTATTCGACAATGAGTACTTTGGAGGAGGCTTCTTCACAACGGGCTGCTCAGACCGTCTTCGGAGCCTTGTAGCATCAAGACCGGGGTCTGCGCGCAACTTTTCACGGGAAGGGGAAGGTTTGACGGATCTGGAAGCGCTGGATGTTGGCAAAGGCAGTCTGGAGGCAGCTAGGCGAGGGATCCCACTCGGTCTAGTTGGTGTTTTCTGTTGCTGATCCATTTTGCGACCACTCGGTTGCTGTTGTGGTCAATGCAGACAAAGTTTGAGGGGCATGCGATTGTTGATATGCGTTAGCGTCACTGATGATATCAGTAAGGAGGTCGCATGCTTGATGGGAAATTCAGTAATCCAGAATTGGAAGACAAATGTCAGAGCAAATTCAGATTAGCAAAAACGTGGAATCTAGCAGTCTTTGGTCAGCTTTGTACGCTATCTAACAGTCAA